CAGACTTCTGTGATATGTCACTGCTCCAAAAATATTTCAAAACTTTGCCCCGCCCACTTCCGCCCCCACAAAGAGCGAAAATCTGTGGCATCCACAATTTCGACGATACGAGAAAACTAAAAACGCGGAATCGTAGAAGATGACTATATCTTCTAGAGTGCAAAATCTGAACCAGATCGTATAATTATTACAGCCAGAATCACGAAAACAATTTCACTCTTTCTCGCTCTGTCTCACTCTAACACACAGGTTTCATGGTCGGTTTTGCCAATTGCAAAATATGAGTTCAAGGATCTCAGAACCTATAAAAGCCAGCGCAACCAAATTTGGTATCCACACTCCTGTGATATCGGACCTTGACCGTTTCATGTCCAAATTTCGCCACACCCCCTTCCGCCCCCGCAAAGGACGAAAATCTGAGGCAACCACAAATCTCAGAGACTATTAAGGCTAGAGTAACCAAATTTGGTACACACACTCCTTTAAGATGTCACTATAAAACGTATATCTCAGAATTTCGCCCCACCCCCATCCGCCCCCACAAAGGACGAAAATCTGTTGCATCCACAATATTGCAGATTTGAGAAAACTAAAAACGCAGAATCATAGATAATGACCATATCTATTAGATTGCTGAATCTGGATCAGATCAGATCATTTTTATAGCCAAAAGGAACAAATAAATTTGCAGTGGCTACGCAGCGCCCGACGTCACGCTCAGACTGATTTTCTGTCTCTCTCGCACGCACTCTTTGTCGTATTTGTATCCTTTGAATTCAGAAACCTTAGCCGCAAATATTAAAGTATATTTAATTGAAATGGATTTCCATCCACACAAGTGAGTTGGACTAGATTTCCATGCCAAGTAGGTAAGCTGCTATTTAAGGGGAGGTTCCCCTTCTAAGGGTGAAAAATTACCTACATTTCAGTAATTTTTTGTATAAATACTAAATACTTTGAATACTTAGTTATTCTGCGAAAACGTGTTGTTAGGTTTCATTTTTTCCAGCGCGAACACACCTTTTTCAATACGAGGTGATCATGGATATTCGTCTTCTACAATTAAGGACACTAGAAAGTTTTAGATACATAGTTGAGACGCATATATATTTTTATATGTTTGTATATATTGCTGATGTAGTATTTAATGACATTCGTAGGATCCACTTAGTTAGCAAAAAGCGTTTCCATTCAAATTACTACGATACGAATTATTGGCAGACTTTCCATCTTCCAGGACAGCTTCCAGGTCTTAATCCATTGTTCGTCTTACTGCCATACTGCAATTGCTCTATAGATCGTCAATTGTTTTCTGTGTGGAGTGGCTAGGGAGTTCTATGAAGGTCTTCGAGGAGTTGCAGTCTGATCGCCGCTCAGATGAAACAAGGCCTTAAGTACCAATATCAATTGCCGTATATCCGCGATAAGGACTGCATAGACACACAATTGGAATTGTTGGGTTTGGATTGAATAGAATAATTATTAGACGGGTTAGAGGGATGGTAAAAGAGTACAAAATGAACTTTTTTTTCTATGGTTTATTTTTCATTATAGGTTTTACAGCTTACACATTTTCGTTTTCAATTTTCGCAATTTTCGTTTGCTCCTTTGCAAAGATCTGACTGTTTTCTTTTTGTTTGTGTGGTTGTTACTTATTAGATACATTCTGTTGCTGCTGTTGTATATGAATTTGTTAATCATGGGTTTTTTATATTTGATTCGCTAAGACTCACTTAAAAAGGGTATTCTGTACTCTTGTGTTTGTTCTGCACAATTCGTAAGTTAATTTTGTTTAGGTCATTTCTTATTGGTAATAACTATACGCAAGAAAGTGTTGCAAAAGTTGGATATAATGGAGTGGTTATATAAGTAGTTCTGTTCTTGTAGCTAAACATTGTACACATATGTATGTATGTACAAACATACTCTTACGTAGTCGTACATACGTGCACATATACAATGTATATTGATCATCTGAATCTCAGTATCGTTATCATCGGTATACATTTCATTATCGCTTGTGTTATACCTTTCTCGTCTCGTCCCGTTTCCTTTCGCTTCGTTTTGTGTTTGTTTCTTTTTAGGAATCACAGTATTGTGCAAATGACCTTCTTGTTTGAGTGGTACAAAAACTCGATCTTCAAGCAGCATATGAACATATGTATGTACATATGCTTCTATTTATGTTTCTATGTAAATGCAAATGCAATTGTAAATGTAATGTAAAATAGAACCCGACACAGGCAGTGCAGTTTTGGGTTTGTATGGTTCTCACCCTCTTACCCATGGTGGTGCAAAAGTCTGGTTCGCTTGGATATCGATCCGGCACCGATATCGAACGATTTCATTCCACCGATGAACACTTTTTCTCGAAACAAGAGGAAATATTTTCTTGGTTTTGACTTTTGCTATTGACTATTTTGAGTTTTCATTTGGGAAATCACAATATATATATGCAAAATCTTATACATCTCTCTATATATTGTATATATATATTCGAACATTAGATTTAGATCGTTGTCCTCTATACATGTAAATATATATTCATATATCCATATATTTAAATATGTGTACATATTGTAACGTGTATGTACGTGTATATAGCATATTTGTTTGTATGTATTGTATTATTTAGCTTTCTTTTTGTCCTCCTTTGCGTTCCTCCACAGCTCTTACTGCTCGGCTTTTCAGTGTGGGTGTGTGTGGGGGTGGTGGCGGGGGTGTTGTTGTTGATGTGGATTTTTGTGTGCGTGTGTGTGAGCTTCTTCCACTGCATGGCGTAACTTGAGAAGGTGGAGCATGCAACGAGCCAGGCTCCTCCTCTCTGTTTTAGTCCCCTACTTTGCTTCAAAGAGCCGATCGTCATCTACCTCAATCGTTGGGATATGCGTGGTGCAGGTGAATAGTGGGAATCGTTTTTCCGTCCCTCAGTTTTCTTTGGAGTTTGTTTGGGGGAGGGGAAACTTGTTTATTGTTCTCACTGAGTACACCCAAGTGGGTCAGCCTAAAGAATCGAGTATTCGATTGAAAACTATGCTCAAGCTGGGGTTATACGAGTTCATTAGTAGTTCATTAGATAGCTAATTGAAATAACAGCAAACAGAACGCAGTGCACGAAATAGATTAATTAAAAGAAACGACACATATGAGTACTCGTAGCTCTCAATATCATTTGCTTTCCTTAATGCTTTCCTTCCCCCTCTTCATAATATTCCAATCCGTTCCTATGATATCTTCCCTTCGTTATTCATTTGTTTAAATCTAGTGCAAAAATTTTACTAAGCAACCCTGTATGTTTATTAAAGACCAAAAAATATATGCTCGTATCCACTTAATGTACATATCGTGTTATCTGGAGTGGGCAAACCAGTCAAAAATGCATACATGTAGTTGAAACGATTATACATATGTTATACTTTTGGGGTCACATGGGGGATCATACATATGTTTCATCTCTCTTGCGTGCGTTTTAGATATTATTCAATGCACAGGCTGGTTTGTACACTACAAAATATAGACGTCCAGGTCTATCTCCATACTGTGTTCTTAAAAAGTTCAATACATTTTACTCTTAAAGCGGCACATACAATTAAAACTGAGATTTAAATTAAAGAACATTTCTCATAAACAGAAAACAAATTTTTTAATGTTGTGTTTTATTGTGTTTGCTCTTTCCTTTTAGATGCTAATGCCACTTTGTGTGTGTTTAGCTAAAAAAAAATATCATTGTTTTTATTATAGGTCCATCAGGATTTCGTGTTTCGTGTTTACAAGGAATTCAAAATCAGAAATTAAATTGTGGTTCCCAGCATAAAATAGCCCAATAGCACTATAAGCACTTAATATTGGGGAGCGTCAATTGGAGGCTCCTTTTTTCCATTAATATATATATATATGCACTCATAAGTATATAACTGACTAATCAGGACCACGTTCAGTCAACTAATTCGTTAATTAACTAATTGCTTTACTTAAATAATTAATGGACAAATGATGAAAGGTTTTCGTTTCAATATTACACACAATTTGTCATTACACTATGGACGAAAATCAGAAACTTATACAATATTCGAATTGCCGATGAAAGGAATGTTTTCCTTTCCCTGGACTGAAGTGCTTGCATGAGGACCAAAGGAGCAGCCTCTTTGCTATCCTCGCAGCCCTATATTATCGGCTGACTCTCTTTGGATCCTCCAACTGTGGCTGCTCTTTGCCTCGAAGTCTTTTTTGTTGTTGTTTGAAAGTAACCATAATCCGTACTCAGGTTGGAAATTTTACTTGCTGAACACATCAATGTTGTTGGCTATAGTGCATACACATACATGTGTAAATATGTAAGTAATTGTATAATAAAAATTATTGCAAAAATAGTAGAATTTGAACAAGGCAAATGGGTAGACTGACAGCTGACAGGTCTCAATGGATCTATACATTGGATTGCGAATGGGCTCCATAATTCAGTCAATCATTGTCTTTGGTACAAGCATGTGTATGTACATATGTATGCATGCATCTATGTACGAGTAGAAACCTGCTCCTTAGTTTTGATATCTGTTTGTCTCTGCTAGCCGGATCTACCGGTTCGCCTTGTCTTTGGTTTGGTTACAAAACTTGACTCATTTTCCATATATTCCACGCAGATACATAACGCGGATAGTTATAAATAAATTGCCATTGCAAACTAAACATACTTTCGAAAAAAAAGGTTCCCAAACAGGCATCACCGTGAATAGTTTTTCTTTCAATAACGTTTATCCTCACTTTTTGTTCTTCTAATTTTTTTTGTTTTTAGCTTACATATGTAAAAAAATGTTATGTAATTGTTTTGTTTTTTTAGCTTGGAAAAGGCGTTAGCTGTTTGCTAAAATATGAAATAAGCCAAAGGAAGCAAAATCAAATGCTTTCGAACTCTTAAATTTGTTGTTTTCTTTTCTTTTTTTTCATTTTGTGTTTGTTTTTGCTTGATATTTTAATATAGTTTTTGTTTTCTTATATTTTTTGCAGACACTTAAAGCAGTTTTCGTTTTACAAATACAATTACAAAAATGTTTTGGGGCATAGAATCAGTTGAAGAAAATCAAGAACTCATAGGAAATTCATTCAGCTCCAGGCATGACTCTTAGACGTATGTGGCTACCGCGGCAGTGTTGGTCGAGCCAGTTCCTCCATTGCTGGCTCCTGTCCCAGCTCCTCCTGCTACCGCTCCTGATCCCAATCCGGAGCCGTTGCTTCCGCCTGCGGCTGCGGCTGCTGCTGCGGCAGCACTTGTCTGGGGCGGCGCCTGTTGGTGCGCTGAGGCGGAGCTGTTAAGCGGCTGTGGACTGACTGGCGGCTGGAGCTTCCCGGGCACGTACTGGCCGATAAAAGAGCCATCTTCAGTGAATTGACCTGCGGCGAGAGAGCAACCCAGATAAACGAGATATTAATAATAGTAGTACTGACTCTTTCACTCTTTCAAAAACCTATAGTATTTGTACATAGACCATGTTAACCACAACCAACACCAGCGCGTGAGAGTTTTGATTAGTTTGTATTAGGAATTTATTTTTTATTATTTAGATTTTATTTCTTTCTTGGTTTAGTTCAAAATTGTGTTGGTAGGTTATACATAATTGGATATCCCTGTTCCTGGTAGCGAGTAGGGGGGTGTGAGGGACAAGAAAAGGCTTCGTTAGTCTGGAATTTGTTAAGCTACAACTACTGTGAGGATCATTGGAGCTTCTTCATACATATCTACTATAATCATTAACAAGAACAAATTGCCTAATAAATAAATTATAATAAACATGCTTGGAAAATTACAAAACATTACCTTTCGGATTTGTCAGCTACAAAATGAAGATAAAAGTAAACACATAAAAAGAAAAAACCAATTCTTACAACACAACAAAACTGTCGATATTAGATTCTCATCGGTTAATGACAGCCACATATGTACCTATGTATTTACTGAACAATAAAAGTTGTTCCCACAACGACTTGTTTTGACCGGTCATTCACATGCCAGCCATAAGATCCGGTAAATTCCAGCAAATGATGTTAAACTATTCCGTTGTGATAGCTTTTTGACTGAGAAACTACATAGTTTGCAGAGAAAAGGACCGACACTATTTGTACAAATAAGCGAAAAGGGCTTCCTTCTACAGGTTATACAACCTTATACAACTATTATCGATTGATTACAAAGTAGTCTTTTCGATCTAGCTTGACGATCTCTGTATAAGACTTGCGAGTCTAGGCATGGATCTACATATTTACATATGCTCCCGGAAGCTACCTATTACTTCTGGTCATGTACGATGTACACACTTCAGAAATACATGCTGCATATATAATATATTCTGCAGGTATATTTTAGGGTTGACATCGGGGGTTTCTTGTTTCGTTTATTATTATTCATTCAGTTTTCTTTATTTTTGTTGTTGTTCTTTCTAATTTAATATACATATATAAAAAATTATAATTCCATATAAATATGTAGTGTTCGTCCTCCATTCATTAATATTAAATAGCTCTACTACACAGAAAAAAAACATTATTTGTAATTCTTCTTCGGTTCTTGGATTCTTCAAATTTCTTCAAATTTTTCCAGAAAACAAACGCAAAGGAAACATTTTTTTACATTTTACCACACTATTACACTGTCAAAAATGAAGTAAAAAAATTATAAAAAATGTTACACAAATTATAAAATAAAAACAAAATACAAAGTAAAGTTATGCAAAATAAACATCTACGCAAAAATTGTCTCTTTTTTTTTTGTCCAAGGAGGGAGATAAACGGAAATTTTACATTACTGTTTATATAAAAAAATATTAAATTAAAACTTATTTACGTTTTATATTTATATATATATATGCATTACATGTAAGAGAGCGAGACATAGATATACAGTTGCATACAGTGAGTGCATGGGACGCAGTGGAACAGAAAGAGATACCCATAGAGAGCAGGGGCAGAGGCAGACGGCGCAAATAGCGAATAAAATCGATCTTCTCTGATAGAATACAAAATGAGTTTAGTCGGTGGCCTCGGATTCGCATGAAAGTATATTAATTGCTTTATCCTTCTCGTTATACTTTTTACTTTCTCCTTCTCCCTTAAGGCGCTCCAGTTGGGCCAAATCATGGGTGATATTGCTGCTCTTTCATTATTTTCCTTTTTCTCTTTATTCGATTTATTTTTTCTGTATCTCTCATTTCCATTTCCATTTCTTCTCCTTTGTAATGTTTGTTTGTTTTTAAATAGCCTTTTGCTGCATCGATCATCATAATCGTCGTCGTTGTTGTTGTTTTTGTTGTAGTTGCTGTTGCTTTTGCGGTTGCTTTTTTCATCTTTTCGTTTGGCAGTAGAATTTGCTTTGCTTTTTACATTTTTTAACTTTAATATTAATATATAAAAGTTCGATCTATATATATATTTAAATTTCCACATCCTTTTGCACTTCGTCAGAGAGAAACGATGGCCTCCCAGCATTTAATTGTGGTTCTTGGGCGGTGATTTTGTTCATTTTTGGGGCTGTGTGTTGTGTGTGGGTGTTGTGTGTGTTGTGTGGGTATGTGTGTCTGTGGAGGTGGGTTTTGGGACTCGGGTTTCGGTTTAGCTGCTGTGGCTGGTGTGGGGCCGCTGCTTACTTAATCAAAGCCCCTTGCGTCCATATTGGCCGATAAAAGATCCGTCTTCATTCATGCCTGGATATTCGATATTGGTTGTTGGTTGTTGTTCATTCATATTCATATTTAAACATTTTTTATAAATTGTGTGTGTGTAGTGTTTGTGTAGTGTAAAGAGAAAGGTAAGAGAAATGATACATATGAAATAAAATTAAAAATCAAATAAGTATTGTGCAGTTAAAGAAATATATAAACATTTAACAAAGAACACAAAAAACAATTGGCAAACTTTAGCGACTGATGGATGATGCTCTGGAATGAAATGAAGTGGATTGGAGTGGAGAGGAGTGAATCAGCAGCTGTGGCCAAGCCAGGTGCCACATGGATACATGGGTACATGGGTAGATGTTTCAGTGGGGAGCTTTGGAAAGGATGATCTCGGCGCGAGCAGAGAGGCAGCCGCAGAGAGGCAGTCCCTGCAGTTAGTATTAAACAAGAGAGCAAACGAAAACAGCGTGCAAGGGAAAGGATCAATGGAGATGCAGCGAAAGCGCACACCAACGCGTAACTGTCCCGCTCTCTTCTGCCCGAATTAGAGCATTTCCTTAAAAGGGAGCGAGAGAGCGATGGAGTGAGGGAAAGCGGAATGGGAGAACCTATTTCCGCTAATGGCAATGGCTTTTTGTGACGAAAGCGCATCAGGAAGCCGGCCGCAAAGAGAACAGAAAGTAAACAACATTACGAGTAAGCCCTTGGAAAGTTCTTCTGACCTGACAGATTGGACGGTGGATGGTGAATGACGATGTCGCCGCAACAGGAGGAGCACAGCACAAAGAGGCAACGACAATGAGTCAAAACGGGGAGAGAGCGAAAGGACTCTCCTAGATTTTGCGGACGCCACCGCTGGCTATGCAGTGGTCGTAGGACGGTGGCGGTGGTGCTGGGGACGAGTGTGGCGACGGTGGCAACGGCAGCGATGGCTGGAACGATGTCGATGGCGACGGCTGCTGCAGTGCTGGACTGCTGGGGGACAACGGAGACTGCAAAAGTTTGCTGCTTCCCTTGCGGGCAGCGGCGGCGGCACGGGCGGCAGCGGTGGCCACAGCTGCTCAACATTGACCACAGTATCATCATCATCATCATCATCATCATCATCATCAATAAAATCAAAATCGTTATAAAGAAATCAAGGCCATGAGAACACAAAATGGTCAAGATGATGTCAGATGTGTACGGGGGGATCATCTTAGCCCTAGAACGGCGCCGTCCTTATCAAAACTAAAAATATACACCCATATTCTCCGCTATATACAATAAGTATTTAAGGGTAGGCCGTAAGCGTGCCCTGTCCATCCCTCGAATCGTATCCCATATAAGGATGTATAATTGGAAGTCTCAATTCAGAAGCAGATCGCTATATGTTGATATATGATCTTTCAAAGCTTTCTTTGAAGCAATGCGGTGCCGTTCTAGGCTTAAGATGAGGAGTAGGGGGTACAAAGAGATGTACAAAGGATGTATGTGTGTATGTATGTATGTAGGTGGTCAGGAAAACTCGGATTCGGAATCGGAATCGACTCGACTCGACTCAACTAACCTGTGTCGCCATCGCCGTACTCGGCCATTGAATCGGTGTCGCTCTCCACTCCCGGTTTATTCGCTGAACTAACGGATTGGCGACCAGCGCTCTTGTTATCCAAACTGCGAACGGGATAAGTAATTATTATTAGAATGTGGATTGTGGCTTGTGGACTGTGGATGAGTCTCTTACGGTTGCGAGTACTCGTGGAAACCTCCTTCGTCGGGATAGTCGTGCCTTCCGTTGGCCAGTTCCCGGTCGTGAACATCGTACTTGCCGCCTCGGTTGCGACGAATGATGCAGATAATTATGAACAGGATGATGATGAAGGCCAGGGCCAGCATCATGCCAATGAACCAGCCGGCGTTGGCTACCGTTTCGTTGGGCACCATTATCGGTCCCTCTACGCTATTCGTGTCGATCTCCTGCGTGGCGCTTTCCGTGTAGTAATGTCCATCGACGGACACCACCCGGAACTCGTATGCGGTCTCTGGATCGAGACCGGCTATCTCCTGGAAGTCAGTCATTTTCTCCTCCTTTGCGTCGGACCATTGCGTCTCACCCTTGACCCTGTAATCGAATCAGGAGCTTGAGTTCATTTCTTTCGAGAGCACAGCGCGTGTCTTTACTGTACCTGTACTTGGTGAAGAAGTGAGTGCCCGCGTGTCCCTCGGTGCTCGGCTGCCAGTTGATGCGGAACTTGGCCTGTCCATTGTCCGACGGCAACTGCTCCCAGGCAAAGCTGGGCGTAGCTGGTGCCAAGTTGCTATCCCCCAGAGTGCTCTTCTCGATGTAGTGCCTGCAGGGATGTAGGGAAAGGAGTCATACTTTAGGATAGGATACTTTAACGTGCGTCTTGGGTCATATACTCACTCAGTTCCTTCGCCCATCTTGGTGGTAGCCGTAATGGAGATGCGGTACTTGGTCTTGGGCTTCAGGCCAGCCATCTTCATGCGCGTGATCCTCGGATCGGTGATATGGGGATCGTATTCGCGTCGCTCGCCCACAAAGCTGCCCTGGACCTCCTCATAGTAGATCTTGTAGCCGGTCAGTTTTCCGTTGGGATGCAGCGGCTTCTTCCAGGTAACCCAGAAAGCGGAGGAGCCCAGCGGATGAGCGTCCAGCGACTGCACAGGGGAGGGCACACCCTCGGGCGTGTCGAAATCGATGATGGCACTGGGTGGACCATTGAATCGTCCGTTGTAGGCCAGTATGCGGGCAAAGTTCTTCGAGTCTGGCTTGAATTGCGTGACCAGGGCCGTGTCTGTGTCGCCCTTAACATGGATCTCGCGCAGACCCTCTTCGCCCTCCTTTTCGGTCCAGGTCTGGATCTTGTAGCCCTTGAAGTGCCCGCGCACGGACTCCTCGCTGACGGGGGTCCAGGCAAGGTAGGCGCTCGTGGCCGTTGTAATCTGACGCATCGTAAAGTTGGTCGGCGCGTCCAGCGGACGGTCCTCCCCCGAGTAGCCAATGACCTCCTCGGCAGCAACGTTCGACTCGCCGCGCTCGTTGATGGCTACCACCTTGATGTGGTACTTGACAAATGTCGGTTGGTCGGTGATCACGATGTTGTTCTGGTGCCACTCGTTGATGTCCTTGTTCTCCCAGGCGGCTGCGGGAATGTCACGCTTCCAGCTAACGCGGTACTGGAACTTCGGGGCGTTGTGCTCGATCTCCGGCATGGGGGTCCACGAGATCACCAGGTTGTTGGGCTCCGTTCCCTGGCCCACAACGTTGTCCGGATTCTTGAAGGGCACGTCCGGCTGGGTAGTGCAGGACTCGCTATGGGCGGACGGCTGCGAGGCGCCGATTTTGTTGAAGGCGATCACGCGGAACGTGTAGTTGGCCCACGGAGACATCTGGACCACGAAGGAGAAGTCCGTGTTGGGCACCTTCTCGAAGGCCGTGTCCCACGAGGCGGGGGTGAATGAGGTGTTGAACTGGATCGTGTAGTGCAGGATGGGCGATCGGTTGTCGCCCTGCGGCTCCCACATGATCTCCGCCTTGTCCGCCTGGCAGGTTATGCCCGTCAGCTTGGGGGCGTTCGGCACGTCCTGGACGATCAGGTTCGCCTTCGCGGTGGCCTCGTCCAGTCGGGTGCGTGCCACACACGTGTATTCGCCGGAGTCCAGTTCCATCGTCTTGGCAATCGTCAGGCTGTTGTCGTTGGTCTTGACGAACCGCGGCTGCGCCTCAAAGTCGATCGGCTGTCCGTCCTTCCACCAGTCTATCTCGATCTCCAGATTTCCGTCGTGCGCCTCATTGCAGCGGAACGTGGCCGACTGTCCGGCGGCCACCTCGTAGTTTTGCGGCTCCTGGGTGATTCGCGTGTGCTCCATCACTGTCAGCGAGCCCTCGGCGGACTTGTTCCCGAACTTGTTCTCCGCATAGCACGTGTATTGCCCGGCGTCCGAGAAGGTCACGTCCAGGATCTGCAGATCCCCATTGGCCTGCACGATGTAGCGTCCTCCGGTCAGCCAGTTGGTGGCCCGCAGCCACCTCACCTGCGGCTTGGGGGCCCCGGTTACGCGGCAGCGCAGGGTCACGTTGCGTCCGTCGACGGTGGAGAGGGCGGTCGGCGGCTCCTCGATCTCTGGGGGCAGGGCCTGCACGTTGAGGAACACATCCTTGTAGACGTAGCCCAAGGAGTTGGTGGCGTTGCAGCCGTAGTTTCCCGTGTCGCTCTTCACCAGATTCACGATGCGAATGGTGTTGTCGGTGACGGTGCGCCTGGGATTGGGCGTGCTCTGCTCGATGGGCTTGCCGTTGTGGATCCAGCTGATCTTCGGCTCGGGGAAGCCGGCTGCCTCGCACTGGAAGACCACCTCCTCGTCCTCGGCGGCCGTCTTGAAGTCAGGTTCTACGGTGAAATAGGGGATGGCGTTCACCTCCAGTATTATGGAGAAGGACTGGGCGTTGCCCACGCCGTTAGACACGTCGCAGGTGTAGGTGCCGTTGTCGTCAAAGTTCGTCTGCCGTATGATCAGCGACTTGCCATAGTGGCCCTGCGTGATGCGGTCGCTCCACTGTATCCGGTGTCCATCCTTGCTCCACACGGTCTGGGGCAGCGGCGTGCCGCCGTAGATACAGAACAGCTCCATGCGTTTGCCGCGCAGCGCGAGGGACTGGCGACGGGAAACGTACTGCCTGATCGGCTGGTGCTTGTTTTGGGAGGCGCTGACGCCCATCTGCTTCACGTCCAGCAGGACCTTGTTGCCGATCTTGTACTCGCTGCGGAACACGGAGGTCGCGGAGCAGGCGTAGTAAAAGTCATCGCTGGCGTCGTCGCGGGTCACGTTCGAGAACCAGAGGTTGCCCTCCGGGTCGAGGGTCATGCGCGAGTTGTTAATCGACTTGATGCTGCCGTCGATCGACTGCTGCATCATCCAGTTGACCGTCGGACTGGGGAAGCCGTCTGGCGCCGCGCACTTCAGCATGAAGGGCTCCCCCTCCACTGCCACCACGGTCTTGGCCGCCTCGTCCTTGAACGCGTTCAGCTCAGCCTTCCGCACGTACACGGAGTTCGACGTGGCCGTCCCGAACTCGTTCGACGCAAAGCACTGGTAGTGTCCTCGGTCCTCGTCCTTCGGCGAGGTGATCACCAATGTGCCGCGTCCCGGCTGCCGCAGCATTCGGTCGTCGTACGCCTGCCAGTCGAACTTCTTGCCGTTCTTTATCCATGAGTATCTGGAATGATAGGATAGCGAATCACACATCAGACAGAGCGATCTTTTGTTGGGTTCAGTTTCAGCAGAGCTTCCTGTCTCAGAGATTCATTCAACACTATAGAGAAGACGCTGCCTTCTGCAAATTAAATGGCCTCCAGCCCAGAGGCCCCTCCCGCAAAAGAAACACACGCAAAACTCCACGACCCATATGTGATCCAAATCGAAAGAACTTTAGAGTGCATGCATGAAAGTAATCTACTAGATTTGCAGGAAATATAATCGAGTTTCATCAGTAACTACAAATTCGATTCTCTGGGTGCAAGTATTTCCCAGGGAAATGTGAAATTTTGCATTCGGGGCGGAAACTGTGGCTCACGATAAAATCAGAATCAAATTTCCCCATTGAGACGGTGCCCAGCGAGAGTTCCGTTGCTTTAAAGGAGACTCAAACACGGACGTTACCGACTTCGGTAAAGCATTCGACTCCGACAACCACTGCCTCCCTCATAGCACAGAGCGAGGGGTTTCTGACGGACACGGCTCAATCGACTCGGCTATTGAGGCTGATCAAGAGTATATGTATATGGGATATGTTATATCCACTTCCACCACTAATACGCTCCTTTTGAGTATCGGGTATAATTAATACGTGGAGCGCTATTTATCCCTCTCTACAATGCATAATGCCCGGGTGACGGTTTGCTAATCAGAGATTTATTCCAGACGGAATGGAATGTAATGATTCACCTACATATTTCCGTTAATTGTTCCTTATCAAATGACCAATTATGACATTTTATTCTCCGTCTCCTTTCCTCATCTCCCGATTCCCAATCCCAATCCCGATCCCAATCCCTGTCCCAGTCCCAGTCCCCGAGTTTTCCCCGTTTCCTGGACTGCCATTAGGCGGCTTTGCTGTCTAACAAATTGCGTTTTTCTACATTTAATTTCGCTTAATCAACATTTCTCAGGCTCGGCTCAGGGGCCCCGGGACTCGGGCAAAAAGTGAAGAAAATTAAGACATTTTATGCACAAATTATGACGACTTAACTTGCTTAATTTCCAATTGCAAAAAATGTCGATTCCAGTGAGTGTCGGGCCTGGGGGAGAGACCGGGGGGATAGGGAATGTGGCAGTTTCTGGCAGTCTGCTGCTTTTGTTTCCATCTCATTGCTCGAGTCGCGAGTAATTGAAATTAAGCGGCAAAAGGAAGTCGACGCCAGAAGAGCGCCAGCTCAAGTTCTCTCTGGGGTAGCTATGGCTTTGCCCGACTTTTGTACAGATACATATCCATACATATGTACATATGTATATGTTGTGCATATTGACATACACACAAAGAAATATATGTGTGCAACACTCGAAAGCCGCAGTCAATTATAAGTATCAACGGAATGCTGCTTGAGCTTGTTAGGCATTGGAACAAGCTTTTCTCTTTTTGTTCTTTCTTTCAATTTTTCATCATTTTCAGACTTGAGCTATGCCCCCCCAGTGCCCACTCCTCCCTCCCCTCCTTTGGTTGGATCTTTTCGGGTTCGGGTTCGGGTTCGGGCTCACTCTTGGCTACAGGTCACGCCATAGGTCAATCATTTGAATTGTTTTTAAGTGTAGTTGTAAGTTGGAACTACCAAGGGAACTGAGCGACTGAGCGACTGAGCACTGCTGGAGGGCTGGTGGAGTGCTGCAGTACGGGGCAAGTAGGAGGGCAGCTATAGAAATGGAAAGACTGGCACAAGAGTTTGTTGAACGGCCACCATCCATCCATCCATTCATCCATCCATCCATTCATCCGTCCGTCCATACACGCATATTTACGTGCATCCTGGCGAACTAGTTTTTGAGCCTGCTTATCGGCCCGGTCGGCCACGTGCATTTACCCAGGACCGGACAACATGTTTCGAATGACACATTAGGTCATCGCCTGGCCTGGCCGCCCTGCCCACCATACAGTCGCTGCTGAGTTGTTGGGCCACCCCAGCTCTTGACCAGCAGCAGCTCTGCTGCTTGGGCAAGTCAATAAATTTCCGGCTAAGTAGCAGGCTGGCAGGAGGAGGAGGAGGAGGCAGGGAGGTCTGCCCTCCCTTCGGCAGACACCATCGAAGGCAGTCAAGCGGTCACCTGAAACAGTTACTCCAGACAACAGCTGCTCCGCACCCTCGTTCTTCGGTCCTCGCCCCTCGCCCCTCACCCTTCACCCCTCTTCCTGTACCGTATCAAATCTTATCTCCCTGTCTTTCCCTTCGAGCCCTCTATTTTGCACGTCGAACGTTTTCTCTTTAAATTTCTTTCGATACATCCACAAGGTCCGGCCTTGTGGCCTTTCCTCAATCGAAAGATGACTAGCTGTAATTGTGCAGATCTGATGCCCTATGCAAACATACCGCTGACAGGATCTATCAGCCGTACTTCGGCACGATCGCACCCAAAAGAAATCCCTGAAAACAGATGTGTGGCTTTCAGTATATAGTATATATATATATAGTATATATGCCCCCTAGCTCACTCCGCCGGGGGGCGCCACCTGACGAGGAAGAGATGGAGAGCCATCTCCAGAGAAGTATCAGAGAAGCCAGCCAGGGCAGTAATAATGATCTAAACTGATCCAATCATTCCCCATGATCCTGCGTGTTTGGTTCGCATCGGACTCCACGAACCTAATATACCTAATATACCTAATATACCCCTCTTATGCCACTCTTTGTGTACCGAGCATATGGTAATAAATGCATATGGAAACCGTGTGTACACACATTCTGTAAGAGTGTATGCGCCAAGAAGCGCCAAGAAGTGCCAGAACAAGTCAGATGAATCATCAGGAGCGCAGAGGGAGTGGGGAGTGGGGAGCAGAGAGAGAGAAAGAGAGTACTTTGCATATTAGGAAGGAGGCGTCTCGAAGGGGTCTGGCTGGAGCTGGTTTCCGCTGTGTTTTTGGGGTTGGAAAGCAACAAAATGCCATAGCATACTTTTTTGCGCGTTGCCCCGCTCCGTGGCCACGCCCACGCGGCGGCGTCTGCCCTAACCCAGTTATAGGTGGTATGTATGTATGTACCCACACGTACACATGTATACAGCGTACATGCCAGTGTGAGCGAGTGTTTGTGGCAGCGTTTGAAGTGCAATACATACATACGTACCTGAAAGAAAAGCAAAGAAAAGAAATGCCAAAACCGCATTTAGCCACGAGGGAAGCAGGGGGACAAAAGGAGAGGTGTAGGCGTAGTGGCTGGGAGTGGCCTACACGATTTCATTCTGTCCTTTCCCTGATCAACAGGCTGGTCCGAGATTCACGTAGACTGGTCCATTCGTCCGTCGATCCATAGATCTGTCAAGCTTTTGGGCCCACTTTAGCCCCCTATTTGTAGATTTCAGAACCGTTTTGTGGAACTATTTCTGGGGTCTGTCGACAGTCAAATGTCAAAACATAAAATGGCCCCTACCACGCCCCTCTTCGCTCCCGTCCGCGTTTGCAGTGGATACGAAACTGCAAACGGCTGTCGGCTGTCGGCTGTGGGCTGTCGGCTGTGGGGGGGAAAGGGCACGGGAGCATTTACAAGCCTGTACAAGGGTTGGGCCTTCGGCTAATACCATCAACCCCCGAGATCTCCGGGCTGACTCATGGGTGAAATGGAGGGGGGGGGCTCGAGGAACAGCAAAAAGCTTTTTTCGGCTACTGTTTCCAAGAGTGAAACAGAAAGAGAAGGGGGGGGAGGGATTGGATTGGATGGGAGGGAATAAGAAATCGTCCGCGTCATCCTCATTCGGTCTCGTGTTGACATTTTCGTGCATGTTCAAACGTGCAATGACACCGAAAAAATAAGCTCTACAATGAAACGAAACGGACACCGACACCGACACCGACACCAACACCAACACCAGGACGATGAAGGGACGGGTCAGACCCCGGTCGGTGTCCCGGAAGCGTCGTCTCCAAGGTAGTATCCACACACTAAGCACACACAACGAACGGAACGGGAAAATAGGACATGGAATGGCACGACCCAAGCAGAAAACAGAAAACAGAAAACAGAGCACACTTCTCATTAATGGCCGCAGAGCATGCAAACAAAGTTTTTATAGTTCGATGGAGCCCCACAAAGGAGCAGAGCAGAGCAGAGCAGAGCAGTGCAGCCATCGCACAGTGGTCTCCGTATCATGAATACCCTTTTTGAAATCTATGTAAATCAAGTCAACATAAATAGAATAAAATAAATGAAGGAAATTCAAATAAGTTGCAGCTTTAAATGATTAAAAACAATTACAGATTTGAATCGTATGTTGGTATTGTCGGCATTTCGCCTTAATAAAGAGATCCGAGCTTGGGAGCAATCTATTTATTGAATCAGTATTTGCAGCCATTTGTGCTGCCTTCTAAGCATTTTAAATATTATTATCCTTATTTCGATACTTAACTCTCCTATCGGATGAATTGTACAACGCCCAGGATGTAAGTCCATTAGTTCCTTGGCGGGGTCAAGTTCATACTTTCCTCATTTGTCAAAATTAATTGTATACCCAGATGACATGCATTGCAGCTGTGTTGAACAGAACACCTGATCACCTAATCTCAGCAGTCGATTTCGCGTTGTTGTCAAATGCACTTGCCGCACTTCCTGCACTTCTTGGTTCCTCTACTGAAAGGCCCATTTTCGCACGGAAGTCTGTTTGAATTTGGGTTTTTCTGCGAAGAAGGGAGTACGAATTCGGCAATTCTCTGCAAATAATATATGAATATGAAGGCCGGATATAAGACTGAAGGAAAGAGTGGGGGCAGTCCGAGCTCAAAACGGCTTTCATGGACTTTCTGCTTCAAGCCCTTTTCCACAGCGGTAATCCGCGTTGGCTTCGCTTCAACTGAGATGTTTTCATCAACCGTAGTTTGAGGACACTTGAGGGTTACTTTTTGGCTACTTTTGCGAAAATATTTGTTGATTGTTTTTGCGATTTTCGGCCTAAGGGCGCAACCACTGTGCATCGGAGCCCAGATGGTAGCAACCCGGGGGCTTGGGCTTGGGCTTGGGC